TGAATTGAAATCTACCGAGCATAACACAAGTGTAAAACATATGACCAGCATTGTGCTATACTGCTGTATTTCAAATGTTGATTTTGTAATTTTTATTCATACATTATACATGTAATTAATTCACAGGATGAAAGCATTGCTGGGTGGGCAGCATTTATTGCCCATCCATCATTACCCAGAGGGCAGTGAAGAGTCAACCACATTGCTGTGGGTCTGGGGTCACACGTAGTCCAGACCAGGTAAGGATGGCAGTTTCCTTCCCTAAAGGGCATCAGTCAACCAGATGGGTTTTTAACAACAATCAGCAATGGCTTCATGGTCATCATTAGACTCTTAATTCCAGATATTTATTGAAATCAAATTCCACCATCTGCTGTGGCAGAATTTGAACCCAGGCCTCCAGAACCTTCCCTGGGTCTCTGGATTAACAGTCCAGCAATAATACCACTAGGCCATCACCTCCTCACTGATATATAGTGATACTTGAAAGAACCTAGGACGATAGATATGATTAAATTCACTGTGACAGTTCAAAGATTAATACACAAGTTTTAAACTTATTGTGGGCAGTTTTGGTGTCTCTGCCCAATAAATAATATATTTGGCACAGAAAGAACACGGGATGTTTGTGAGGTTGATACTGGGATTGGTAGGACTGTCCTATGAGGAGAGATTTGTTTGACTGAGTCCGTATTCACTAGAAGTTAGAAGGACGAGGGGGCTCTGACTGAAATACATAAAATGCTAACAGGGCTCAGACAGACTAGATGCAGGGAGGATGTTTTCACTAGTTGGCATGTCTAGAAAAAAGAGACAGTCTCAGGTCATGGGATGGACCATTTCAGACTGAGATGTGGAAAATTCCTTTACTTGAACAGTAGTGAACCTGTGGAATTCTCTGCCACAGAAGGCTTTGGAGGCGAAGCCACTGGATATATTCAGACAAGAGTTAGTTACATTTTTAGATTGTAAAGGCATCAAGGGGAGAAAGCAGGAGTACGGCAATGAAATAGATGGTCATCCATGATCATATTGAATGGCAAAGTGGACTCAGGGATCAAATGGCCTGCTCTTACTCCTGGTTTTGTTGTTTATTCATTTCTCTATATATCCACTCTTCAACAGAATTCAGATATCTGCAGATTAAAATTAATTCCCCTGCAAAACTTAGATTATAGTCATTGCAAATTAGACTTTTGAAAAGGATTCTCTGCAATGCCGCAAGAAATATGTTTTTTTGTGGGGGGGTGAGAGTAGGGGAAGAACAGCTGATTTTATGTGGTTAGAGCTACTACAATGAAGAGAAGGGAGGGGGGTATTCACAAGCTGACCCTCCCAGATGGGAGCAATAGTGGCAGCGCTTAGCACGCTTGGTTACATGCAGGATTCAACCAACTTAATAACTTAATGATGGCACTCATTTTAATGGCTTAAGCCATAATCTAAAGATCTTATTGAGTTGAACCCTTTATGAAAATTCCCAAATGCCTACTATTCTTTCCCTATAAATTTCTTCAACAATATAACATTGTGTGATACTGCTGATAGTTACATTAAACTGAAAGCATGACTGCATTATCACTGACCAGTTTGAGGGCACTCCTCAGCATGTGGAGATCCCATATGACCAAGCAAGTAGACCCCACGACTCCAAAGGGCTTTGCAAAATTTTGACAGGCAACACAAGGGCAGCCGTATGGCAAGGCCCACCAAGTTGTCCAATGGGAACGATGGGACACAAGGGCACTCTTCCAATCCTCCAATTCGTCCTGATCTCAACCATGGAGCTACAGGGTCGTGTCGCTCTGTCACAGGAAGGGAGTGGCAAAGCCACACTAACTGCCTAAGTGGGCAGTATCAGGGAGGGACTGGTGGAAACTAAGACCAGAATTCATTCCGATACAAGAGTCACAAACAACTTGCTGATCGCAACAGGCAAATGATCTCTTCCGTAGGGGGTTGCCTGCCCATGGCATCTGCCCTTTATGTTTGTTCTCTCAACAGGTAGCCATCTAGTTGTTAGGAAAGGGGAGGTTGAACCTTCTGATAATTAAAATCGAAACACAAGCCCCCAGTTCGTTACGGTGGGAGTAGAGCTTTCTTTCTACTAATTAAACCCAAAACACCTAGAGAAGGTTATCTCACCTCACCTAATCTGTTAAACTCTTACGGTGAAGGGGAGGTTAAATGAAAGAAAATCCCTGATATTCATTTTATGAGTAACAAATAACAATTTATTCATCTAACCCTAACAGTGAACAAATTAACAGAATTACTAACAAACCAAACAATTCCCCCTTAACTCTAACTATTCTCTAACAGAACTAAATTCTACTGGTGTAAACACAAGTCCCACTTATATAAACCAAAGTAATAAGAACATAAATGTAAACCCAGTTTCTCAAAGTCTACACGCCTTTCTTCTGCTGTTCTTGTCATAAACACCTTTCTTTTGTTGATCTGGTTGTCAGGGATGTTTTCTCTGTGAAGGCTCTTTGCTGGAAGTACTGTGGTACCTTTTATGGATAGATGGTGCTTTCTTAGAGAGCTTAGCGATTTCTTGTGAGAGCTAAATGCTTATTTCTCAGATGGTGGTTCACACTCACACCGATTTTCAAAAATCCTCTCCTTGTATACCTTGAATGACATATCAACTTTCTTACAATAGCATTGGTCTGAGGTTGTCAAAACCATCATGTTTAAATTCAATTGGCTTTCAATTGATAAGTACTTGGCTTAAATTGATTGGCTGATTCTAACTCATTGCCAAAACATCAAAACACGCTTAAGATTTCCAATCACACAGCTAATTGATATATGTTTCAATTTCAGAACTGGCTGTACCCCTTCAGCTGCTTGGACACATTTTCTGTATAAATCTCTCAGCTTAGAATGGCACTTTTACACTCTTCTCGCTTATTTTTTTTTTTACAAACAAATTCTAGCTTCCTGCCTTCCAATTCACGATTACTTTACACAACTTTGTAACACAGTTTGAATGCCAAAAAAAAAACACACAGGCTCAGAATAGACCAAAGACAGTTTCAGGCATTGGATGCTGAGTTTTTCATGCCCCTTACCTACAATCCCTCCCCCAACTTCAGACCTTCCAGGAGGGAGTGTAAATCCAGTCCAAAGGAACATGAGGAAGCCATTCGGCCCACTAAACCTGCACCACTGTTCATGATCATAGTTGGTCGTTGACCTCAAAACCATATTCCCCTGATATCTCCATATCCCTGGGTGTCGTTAGTAACTAGAAAACTATCAACTTTTGTCTTGTGGTTCATGAATAACTGAGACCCCCAGCATCCTTTGAGGTGAACTTTCTTAAGATTGACCATCCTTTGAGTGAACAAATTCGTCATCTCAGTTTCAAATGGCCTTTTATTCTGAGGTTATATCTCTTCATTTTAGACGCACTATCCAGGAAAAACATCTTACCGATATCCACCCTATCAAATCCTATTCTGCCACTCAATTAGATCACAACTGATCTGTACCTTTATCCCAACCATGGCCCTGGTGCATTTCTTGCTGGAGGAACTAGCAGTCCCTGTGTCAAAACCTTTAACTGAATTCCAAAGTCAACAGCCGTTTGTGTGAGAATGTTCTAGACCTTTGTTACTCTTTGTACCTTTGTCAGTAAATAATCACTGGGAATGACATGGTCATCCATCACATAGGCACTGCAATGGTGATCAATGGAGATCAATGGCGATCAATAATGATCAATGGAGAACACAGCTCATTAGATTGAACAATCATTGACTTGAATGGGGTTGGACTGTCTCAGTTGACATGCTGGCTAGTCGCTGTTTCTGAATAATACCAGGTGATGCAGGAAACCTGTCTCCTCCTGCTGTTGCTGAGGCAACGGGCAAGTTATCACTGATAGAGATTGTTCAGAAGAAGCAACAACAGGCCTTGAGCCAAGAGCCTAACATGGGCAGAGCACACATGAAGCAATGACTGGAGTTTAGAAGATAGAAGGAGTGCCCTAGTGAAGATAATCGATACTGATGGGGAAAGATGACCTTAAAAGTGCTTCAGAGATACTCTCAAGGCATCACTGGTGAAGTATGGTATTCCCACAAACACCCGGAAATCACTGGTCCAAGACAGTCCGAAAGGAGGAGGAGTATCTGGGAAGGCATCGAGCACCTTGAGACTTGGGAAAAAAATGCAAGCCAGGTGAAAACAGCATAAGGAGCGTGCTGCCACACCAATGCCCCACCCACCCCTTCCCATGACCACCACCTTCCCCAAGTGTAACAGAGTCTGTGGTAGCCGTATCGCTCTGTACAGCCACCTAGAGACTCACCGAGAGTGGAAGAGAGTCACCCTTATCTATGAGTGACCGCCAATGACAATGGTGCGTCTAACAAAGATTTGGTAAAGGTTTAGGGCACTCAGCTCAAGGACCCTCCTTGAGGAAACAATGGGGCAACAAGTTGGGAGAGGAGATATCTCTGTAACTGCACTCAGCTATGTTTTAATTTCTCCGTCTCTGAGATGGTAGAACAATGGTCACCTGTGGACAATATGCAATAGTCAGCATGGAGTGACATTTCTAAGAGAGTGCCATCATTTACAAGGCGAGGAAATTAGTGAACTGCTTCTCCCTTGCCAGACACCAGCAAGGCAATGCAGCTTTTACACTGCAGTGATATTCTGTAACAGGAATTTTATAATCACCTCAAGCAATTATGAGCACCGTTGGAAAGCTAGAACAGAGACTTTTAAACATGTCTAAGCAAGCGAAAATTAAAATTGAACATGCTGGAAATTGCATTAATACTCAGAAACACATTCCTGAACAACAGCAGCTGATGGCTCAGATAGAGAGTGTTCCAGTTGCGAATGTGGGAATGGTTTCGAAATTTAAATTAATGCTGGGAGGGGGAAAATGATAAGTCAAAGTTCGATTAACATGAGGGACAGCTTTTAAAAAGTATGATCTACATTTGATTTGAGATTGTTTCTTTTTCTGTCCTTACCTTATCATCGAGTTTTCTTGCACTAAATGTCAACTCCACATAATCATCATTCCCAGACAGCTCTTCTGCAATGACCTGCAGAGGAAAAAAATCAAATGGAGATTGGTCAGAATCAGTCAAGACAGAATTATTCATAAGTTAGAGAGGATTTATACAGTAAAATCAGAATAGAGTAGAATTGAATAGAAATTTATTGTAGCATGCTCTTTTACATGAAAAATACAGTGAAAAATTTTATAAGTTGCCCCACTTCAGCGTCTACATCAAGGTCAGAAGTCACACATAATAACAAAAAAAAAGTAAAATTAAGACAAAGTTCATCACAGCTCAGTTAACAACTCCTGGGCTCAGGGAAAGCTGATTAAGGGACAATGGAATATCCTGAAGATACTGCTGGGATGAGACAGCCATTCCAGGACAAGACCACCACGCAGAGTCGCTGGAATACTGGGCCACAGAACAAAGACCAGACATGTTCGAGGCTAACTGTTGACAAGGTCATGACTAAGCCAATATCCAAGCAACAAATGATATGGTTTGGGGGGGAAAGGCATTATGATTAATGAGGGTGTCGTAAGGGGAGGCGATAGCCTAGTGGTATTATCGCTGGACTGTTAATCCAGAGACCCAGATAACATTCTGGGGACCTGTGTTCAAATCCTGCCATGGCAGATGGTGGAATTTGAATTCAATAAATATCTGTAATTAACACTCTAATGATGACCATGAACCCATTGTCAATTGTCAGGAAAAAGCCACCTGGTTCACTGATGCCCTTTAGGGAAGGAAACTGCCATCTTTACCTGGTCTGGCCTACATGTGACTCCAGACCCACAGCAATGTGGTTGACTCTCAATTGCCCTCTGGGAAATCAGGGATGGGCAATAAATGCTGCCTAGCCAGTGATGCCCTCATCCCGTTAATGAATAAAGAAAATTTAGATGGTTAAAAACAAAGGGTATTTATCATTAGCTCTACTGTGGGAAATGGGTGGTAGGAGTCAGCCTATTCCAGATGACTAGTGTGCGCTTCAGAATCACAGCAACTGTGCAGGTTGGGTTCCTGTCTAGACCACAGTGGGACCTGTGATCTTTCACCTCCCAGACAGAGAGTGCTGCAGAAAGTGCTGCGTTTGTGGAGGGAGATTCAGAGTTAATGTGTGTCAATGCCGATATGACTCTTCTTCAGAATGTCCTTCCTCTCCCTATCCCTCTGGTAGTGAAACCAATGGGTGAACTGCACACCACTCACAAAATGCAGCTGAGGAAAGCAGCCCCACTCCCCCATACCCCCATCCCACCCACCCTCCCCCATCACCGCACCCCCTGCCGGATAATTGGCAGACAATGGATCAGGACTCAAATGCCAAACCAACCTCTACTCTCAGGGGGCACCGGTTACAAACATGGTGTGCTGCTTGCACAAATGAGCATATCAATTAGGAGCAGAAATAGGCCATTCAGCCCATAAGGCCTGCTCTGCCCTTCAATAGCATCACGGCTGATCTGTTTGTGTTTCCAATTACACATTCCCCCCTACTTTTGATAACCCGTTGACTTCCTTCCCTAACAAGAATCTATCTATGTTTTGGGTCCAGGAAGGACCCATTCTGATGAAGGGTCACCGGTCCCAAAACGTTAACTCTGACTTCTCTCCGAAGATGCTGCCAGACCTGCTGAGCTTTTCCAGCAACTTCTGTTTTTGTTTTTGATTTACAGCATCTGCAGTTCTTCCTGTTTTTCTTAAGAATCTATTCACATCCAATTTAGAAATGATCTATGACCTCACCTCCACTGCCTTCTGAGACAGACAGTTCCAAAATCACGCAACTCTGAGATAAAACTCTTCCCCTCATTTCTGTCCTAATCTGTCAACCCCTAACTTTAAAACTGTGTCCTTTAGTTCTAAACTATCCTACAAGAGAAAGCATTCCTTCCATATTCACCTTGTCAAGACCATTCAAGATATTATACACTGCAATCAAATCACCACTCAATCAGAAGCACAAGTATTTGCCGCTGCCAGGAGTTTCCAGGATTTCCACCAGCAACACCGCATTTAAAGTCCAGATCGCACCAGTTCTAATGCTGCCAGACACAAATAGCCCTGCACAGTAGATGCAGTGAGAAGGAAAAGGAAAATAACAGCTTCTGAGGGCAATGGTGGCATTTCATTAGAAACAGAATCTCACAATCCTCTATATTCTTTACATCAGCATCATTGCAATGACAACCCATTGCCCTGGACACCCCACACAGTCGATGGACTGGGTCCTGGTGACTGAACTGATATCAAATAATGTCATAGAATCCCCACAGCAGGTCATTTGGCCCATCAAGTCCACACCTACACTCCAAAGATCATCCAAAACAACCACACCCCTATCATATCTTCATTACCCTGCATTTCCCATGACCAATCCACCTAACCTGCACATTCCTGGACTGTGGGGGGAAAACAGGAGCACCCAGAGGAAACCCACACAGATACGAAGAGAGCGTGCAAACTCCACACATACAGTTCCCCGAGGGGATGGGTTCGGAACCGGGTTCCTGGCACCGTGAGGCAGCAGTGCTAACCACTGAGCCACCATGCTGCCCTATGTCCCAGCCTGTAGTTGCCTGTTTTCTGCCTCCCTCCTTTATCATCCTCATAAACCTCTGGCCTCACTATCTATTACCACCCTCCCCCATCACCACCCCCCCCACCCCCTGCCGGATAATTGGCTCATTTGTGCAAGCAGCACACCATGTTTGTAACCGGTGCCCCCTGAGAGTAGAGGTTGGTTTGGCATTTGAGTCCTGATCCATTGTCTGCCAATTATCCGGCAGGGGGTGGGGGTGGGGGTGATGGGGGAGGGTGGTGATAGATAGTGAGGCCAGAGGTTTATGAGGATGATAAAGGAGGGAGGCAGAAAACAGGCAACTACAGACAGAATATTTCCTGCCCCTGAACAACATGGGAAATGGTGAGTCATGTGGGAAAATATGACCAGATTGGAAAAATATGATACTTCAAGTCATAAAGAAAAAGTCTAATTTTGCACCCAGCGTTTTAACGTGGAGACAAGAATCTCACTAGTGAGCAGCAAGAGGCCTCTTAACACATTATAACATCTCATTATTACTGGTCCTTGCTTTGTTTCTACGCAGTTTCCTATTTTCCCAGGCAATGGAGTGAAATTAAACACTGACAATTCCCAACACGGAAAGCAGAGTGGGTACCTGGCAGTTCCAGATCATCGCTTCCTCCTCTAGACCTTCATTGTGGCCAACAGTACCTCAGGTAAACTCCATGGGCAGTGACAGTCTGCACTCTTTGTCCAAGGAGGTTGGCATCTGATAGTCTCACCAGATCACCATGGCACAGCTCCAACTCACTTACTATACAGGTCACCACTTCAATGCTGCACCTAGGAACTCACAAACACCTTTCATTGCAATGCAGCTGCTAGGCTGTTTTGCACACCGGGACAGGCACACTCAGTCCTCAGTCAAGTCAAAAGCAAATCATAACTGATTAGTCACCTCTGTCAAGATCCCAGGATGAAGTCCGCCTGGACCTGGAGACTTAGCAACCCACTGCTCTATCAGTTTGCTCAGTGCTGCTTCCCTAATCATTGTAATTTCACCTTCTGGTTAACAAACATTAACTGGCATCTGTTTTGTATCCTCTGTAGTGAGGACAGAAGCAAAATCTTTACTCATTTCATGAGCCATTTCTTTATTTTCTACTACGAACTCCCCAATCTCACTCTCCAGAAGACCAACACTCACTTTACTTGCTCTTTGCGTTTATTGATACCCAAAGAAACTCTATCTATCTGTCTTTACATTTCTAGCTAGCTTCCCCGCATGCTGCACATTACTCATGCTGATTAACCTCTTAGTCATTCTTAGCCATTCTTTATATTCTGACCAGAAGATCACTCTTGGTACCTCTCCTATTATGTGGTACAGGGCAAGGGCTTTTTTGAGGTAGTTTGCTGCCAGCAATTCTCAATTGTCTTGGTCTTTTCTAGTGACAAGTCATAGAGGCTTCACCGCTTTAGAATATGTAGAGAAAGACACTTCTTAGGTACCAAGAAGCTTTACTGCATGTTAACAATAAGTACAACTAAATTTGGTCAGACATAATTGCTAGGATCCTAGGGAGTTGGTACAAATACATCTGCTTCATCTGAAAGCTACAGCAGAACTCCTTGTCTCCATCCACAGACTGTGTGTGATCGCTGTAAAATGAGTGAAATCAATGTAACAAAAGCATTACCCTCTTCAAAACCAGAACCTGAAACAACAGCCCTCAGCCTTCTCTGTTGTAAAGAGAGCAAATACCCCGGCCTGTCTAATCATCCCTCATTACGAAAATTCTCCACTCCTGGCAACACCCACACAACTCTCCTGACCTACCCCGGGGAACTGAAACGTCAGGGAGGGCTCATTTACAGACTCAAATAGCTCACATCGGAGTCTGTCTGAAAACAGGCAACGCTGTTAAATTGGTGACGACAGGAGATTTTACGCTTAAGGTAGTTGTACTTTAGCAAAGTGCGAAGAACTGACTGAACAGATGCTAGAAACTTCAAAAAACCTAAGGCTTTGACATCAGTATAATTGGAGTTGCTTTGTACAGAAGCTCGCTAGTCAGCTGATATAAACAGTCGTCTGTAATGAGCGTGGGTGGTATACACAGTGATGACAATACTCAACTATTTTTAATTGGCTGACTCCTTTATCTCATATCTTTACTTTAAAACAAGCTGAGAGAGAGAGGAGGCTATCTATTAAATCGGTATCAAGTCAACAACGTAGGCTAGTTTTATTAACCGATTTACATCTTAAAAGGCTGAATCTTTCAGACAGTACAAAATTAAAAACATCTACTTCCTAAGCCAAATGGTAAAACAAATTACTGTGACTTCAGTAATGTCAGCATCTCAACCACAATAAATGTTTCCCCATGTTTGACTAAACACCTTGGCTGCTGGCCAGCTTGTTTAAAATTAGAATGGAGTTTGTTGCCATGCAAGCTCTTGACAAATGGAAGCAATCATCTAAAAGGGATCTCCACTGAGA